GTTATCTGCTCAGCTTATTGACATAACTTGTTCTGGATCATTTGTGAACAATGTATTCCTACTTTGGTCACCAGATCGATAACTGGGTAATTACCGCAGCGAATGTGCTGCAATTTGTTGAAGTTAAATAATGCCACGAAGGCATTATAAAGGCACGTTTCACTGTTCGAAATTTTATTAACTTGTGGTAACTGGAATATTGTTTTTAGCCCTTGGAGTTTATGCAAGAATATTTATAGTTAAAGTGATATCAGGCGCACCTTGTTGAAAGAGTGTCATACTGCACAACCGATCGCATCTATGAAGTTTTTTCGAAAAAATGGTTTCCATGTAAAAATTTGTGACATTTAAAGAGAAAAGCTTCATTATTGGCCTAAAAGAAACGCCGATCATCCGCTTGCATCTGGTTCTAGGAAACCCACTATATATTGCATTTTTCCTGCTGCATTTTACATGGACACAAAATATAAGCTTTTTCTACATGCAACACCAATAAATGGGACGAGAGAGATAAGTGTCTTCAATAATAAACAAGATGCAATTCAAACCCACCTGTTCTTCAGTGATTGAGGGAAACAGGTGATCCTGAAGCTCAACAAACTGCAACTAATTTTTTTAAAAATTACCTGATGAGCCAGTGTTTAGGTGACATCCTTTGACGGCTGGAAGTAAACTACCAATGAAATGACTTGTGGATATGTTACCGCCGTTATTGGAACTTGGGTTTTAAGGTAACTGACGAGGTTGACTGAAACAACAGTATAATGTTTTTATTATAATTGCTGATATATAATTATGCTCCTTATTGGTACTCAAACCAATAATTTACGTGATTTGTCTGGATGTATTTACGTGCGATTTAGAATGTTATATCGTACGTTTATTTCTCCGGTAAATCATAAATCCACATGAAATTTCACGCGACTTTACTCAAAGTACCAACAAGCAGCTGTCTCTCTTTTACTGGTGAATGTCAGTATAGCGTGGGCTGGGGTTCAAACCATAGCGTAAATGTTGCTTTCAGCTTACGTTTTTGCGAACCTTGATCTGTTT